GGTGGTTACCTCCCAGTAGGACTGTTAACTCCTGAAGACAGGGCCGTCACCCTGGCAGCAGAGTGCTCCTTAGTCATGGAAAGATGGAACCAGCACGCACTGAGCACCTACTCAGCGTCAGGCACAGAGCCAGGCAGGCACGTTCAGACAATCCTCACAAGAGCCCCCGTGAGGTAGAATCATCACCTCCATCTTACAGATGTGGAAACAGAAGCTTGGGGAGCAGCATCTGTCAAAACGGCACAGCTGGCCAGCAGGGGGTCAACTTGGGATGCCCAGTCCAGTGCTCTTTCTACTGCCTACATGAGCCAAGGGTTTGGCAATAAACAAGGAGCCCAGTCCCAAGCCAGTGGTGGGCAGCTCACCCCTTGGGGCCCATTGAGCACAGGGGTTGGGAGGTTAGAAGGTTGGTCTACGATCCTGGCCCCACAGCTTTACTGTGTGGTTTAATTGCTTGCCAGGGGCTAGACCTGTCCAGTGTACTTCTCAACGGAGTGTGAAAACCACACGTGGGCAGCTGCTGCCAAGGCAGGTGGAGGTGTCTTGGACGGGGTTGCTCCCCTGAGGGTGGTGGCGGTGGAGGGCATGGCCCTCTGATAGCATACACCTGTGCCCCAAGTGGGGAATCCCTTATGCTGTTTAAGGGTCTGACCTCTGAGAATGCCTTTCAGCCAGAGGGAATCCACCACCCTCCCTGAGAGGCCTTCCACAGAAGGACCAAAGGAATACGGTCAGGATGCTTTGTAAGGAGGAAAATGCTTTAGAATAATTAGGTAATGGGGAGGAACAGACTTTTTTTTTTTTAAGACTCTTTTACAGGGAAAGAAAAGATGGCCATTAGGACGAGGTCTGGGGGAGCCATTAATCATTCAAAGGAAGAATCAGAGTGCAATGTGCCAAATCAGCTGGTAGGAGGGGGTTAGGCCAAACCTAGGAGAAATAGGTTTTTGGCTTGGGCTGACCTGTATGTGCTTTGGGGCAACCTTTTGTTACCTCATGTCGGGGTAAGCGAGGTGCCTCAAAATAGACCTTGCATCTGTAACTCTGGGCAGGCCACAGAGAACAAACCCCGGGACAAGGGCCGGAAGGAAAACAACCCAGACGGCTCAGGCAAAAACGGCTTTACCTGATTCTCCTCGTCCTCAAGGCCCACCCACATGTACCCAGGTCTATACTGCCCCCTGTGAAGGTCTCTGGGCCTCCCGGCTGCCCGGTCAGCGCCTCTGCTCTAGCACACTGAGTCCTAACCATCTGAATAGTTCATTCTCTCCCACCAGACTGTGAACAACTTAAGGATGGAGATGGCCTTGTGGGGCCACTTTCTTCTCCTTTGGGCTTAGCAAGACCCTGGGGGCTCAGAAGCACCCAGGCTGAGTACCAGCCAAGCCTGCCAAGAACAGAGAGCTTGACTGGCTGAGATGAATCCCAAGCCATGGCCTTGGGAGCACCTTGGTTCCAGAGGAAAGCAAGCATGCTTCCTGAGCCTTGTATCACTTGCCCCAGAGTCACCCTGCACTGGGTGCAATGCTCGTTGGGGGGATTTTTCTAGAAAAGGGAATCACTATGTAGGTGCAGATTTCAAGCAATATAAAGTGCTGGCATAAGAGAACCTCATCATCATCCAAGGAGGTAAACAAAACTGAGCTTTGGCAGCCCTGGCGGGAAAAGGTGGATCTACCTGCAGGTGTGTACAGGTACACATCTACCTGTGCGAAAGGACGGGCTCTGTCTGGAAGTCTGGAAAGAGAGTGTGCGTGTGTGCATGTGTCTGTGTGTGTGTACATGGGTGTGGTGGTGAGGCTGGACTCACACACCTCTTTGTGGATACAGGGAAGGCTGGCCCTTGTTCCTTGGTCTCCGGTTCCTGAAGCCCAAGAGCTCTGCTGACAGAAGGCTCTAGAATGCAAAGCACAGGCTGGGACAGCTCAGGGTCTTCCCAGGCTCAGGGTTGCTGAGAGAACCGACTGGAAAGTACCCTGCACAGAAAGGCGAGCAGCCTGGTCTGCAGGCTAGTGCTCAGCAGTGCAGGTTCTTTAAGCCCAGCAGGGTGGCTTTCCCATGCAGGTAAATGTCCTCGTCCGTGCCCACGTTCAGGTGCTTCACCATGTTCTTCTCGAAGAGGAGAGGGTGGTAGGCGCCCATCGTGCAAGCGCTGTCGAAGAACTTCTGGAAGTAGTAGCACACATCAGTCTTGCGCTTGGATGGGAGGAACTCGTAAACATCCACCTGGTCACACAGCGTCATCATGATCATGATGCCTGCGGAGAGAGCAGAGGTGAGTCCAGCCCGACAAAGCACCCTAGCACCCCACAACTCCACTGGTGGGTCCAGCAGCTCGTGACCCCAACTTCAGAGGGGCTGCTTAACTACTGGGAGTCCCACTCTGAGTGCCCTTGGAACAGGCCAGCTCAGCAGACTTCCCCGGGGAGTGCAAGACCTCAGGAGCCTCTGCGTCTCCGATTGCCCAGCACACGCGCCAGGGCCTGGTACGTGCAAGCCCGCCTAGACCCCAACACCAATGCTCTTCCGGCACCTGGGGACTCACCAAGCATCCCCGAGGAGGGGGGGTTTGGCTGAATCTTCTCTGGGGAAATTTCTTGAAGAATATCCCACAGCTCCCAGGGCATCTGCGGCCTGAGGATGTAAAAGGGCTGCTCGGGATGCAGCCTGCGGTAGCTCTTGTAGTTACTGGAGAAATTGTAGTCTGGATGCTTGTACCACTGGAAGAGAAGAGCAGGGTCATTTCAGGGAGAGAAAGGTGCACACACAGCACTCCCCTTAACCAGCCATCCTGGAGCTCCGGGAGTGGATAGACAAGGCCAAGTTCTAGGGTACAACCCTTTCCTCAGAGCACACACCAGACATCTCCAACAGCAGAGTGGGGACCCCGAACAGCTGCAGACTTCACGGGCACAGAATACGAGAATGCCGTCTAAGCCAAAAGGGGCCTCAGGTCCCAGCTAAGCCCGCCTCTGCTTCGGAAAGCTGAAGAGACCAGGCCACGGGTGGCCCTCTCTGTGGATTCAGAGCCCTGACTGGACCCGAGCAAACGTGAGTTCTCACTACGATCAGGACAAACTGTGGAGACTGGAGTGTAAGGAGTGAGGGTGACAGGACCACCAAGCCTGTCAGCTTCTTGGTGAGCCCAGGTAATGCCAAGAATGAAACATCATGAGAAGGAGGAGCCTTCTGACATCCACAGCCAACAGGGACAGCGCCGTCCCCAAGAGCGTGAAGACCCAGCAGAGGGTCTGAGGAGCTTGTCTTTGCGACAGAGAGAGGGATGCTGCAGGTCTCTGTCTTCCAGGGCGGTGATGCCTGCCCCACCCCCATCCCCCACCCCAGTTTCTCCATCAGTGAAGGGGGAACAGCTGCAGGTCTCTCTGCATCCTTGAGTTATGGTGGGAAGGCAAGGAAATGAGAAGAATCCATTCCCCCAAAAGCGAGGTGCTCTTCATCATTCCAAAAGTGGCCATGACTAATGTCGCCAACGCTCATCGGGAGTAGACATTCGTGAACACAACCCACTCTAGGAGATTCCGGACTGGAGATACAAGTACTTGGCAGTAGGGCAGAGGCAGGGAGAATAGCTATTGCGATGGTGGTCATCATTGTTAAGTTCCATTGAGGCGTGTATATAGCGGCCCCATGTACAAAGGAATGCAACACCGCTGATCCTGCGCCATTCTTATGCCTGGGCCCATTGTTGCAGCCGCTGTGTCAATCAACCTCATTCAAAGTCTTCTGCGGGGACTAGTCTCTCCTGACAACATATCCAAAGTGGAGGACAGAAAGACCTCTAGTATTTATAACAGATACCAGGGGACAAAGATACTTCTGTACCTGATAGTGTAAGTGAGGTGAGTGGCCTCAAATTAAAACAGCCCACCCCATAGGGTCAGCAAAGACTGGAAAATCTGTAGGCCAACAGATGACCCAACCCCTACTTCCCCTGGAAACTGACTTACCTTTGGAATATCTGAATGGTATATAGCTGGATCCCACATAATCATGATGCCTTCATTGTAAAAACTGTCTTTGAGAAAACGCCCAGCTGTGGTGACCAACTGCAGAAGATACAGACAAGATATGTCACTTGGATATTGATATATAAATGGCTGACTGTAGTACTAACTGACAGCTCCTGAGTACTAACTACATCCTGAGGTCCCAGAGCCTCCGTGATGCTCCCAAGTTCTGGTGCAATGCTTTGCATCCTTCAGAAAATGATGGTAGAAAGGCCACTGTCGATTTGAAAGGACATCTTATAACAGTCAGCCAGCCGTGACTTCCACTCTGACTTTGAGATGGCTGGGACAAGGACAGAGCGCTCGATGCTGTTTCCATGGAGTCTCACCTTTGGAAGGAGTAAAAGGGGTCTGGTTTTAAAGTCACATTCCTAGGTAGTCAAAATTAACTCTAAAGACCCCTTCCATTGCCTATAAAGTACCAAGCCACCAAACCAAGCCCATTGCTGCTGAATCAACTGATTCAAAGTAAGTCGACAGGACAGAGTTGAACTGCGCTGCCTGGTTTCCAAGGGAGGAGAACAGCATGTCTTTCTCCAGCAAGGCACTGGCACGCTTGGACTGCCAATCTTCTGGGTAGGAGCTGAGCCATGAGCCACTGCACCATCTGTTCTCCTCCATAAAATACAATCTGGAGTATTTACGAATCGTGACGGAGATCGTATAGCAAACCCAAACAGCCCATCGCGTCTGCAGTCCTAGGAAGTGTTCACTGTCTATAGTCAAACAGCAGAGGAAGTAGGAGGCTTGGGTGGTGGGGTCAGAGAGTATGCGAGAACAGGTATCTTTAAACGTGGGACTCTCATCAAATGGGTGGGGTGTTCTCATACCAGCGGGAACTGAAACCCAAGGTGGGAACCCGTTCCTAATGTGCTACTCCCCAGGGGGTCTCTGCACGCTACCGAGCTGGCCTAGGACAATCAGAAGTCTGCCAGAGCTCAATAACACCAACACTGGAATCGGTTTGCAAAGGATCATGAGATTCTTTGTGCTGTTGTGGTCCGGTGCCATTGAATCAGTTCTGACTCACAGCAACCCTATATATAAAAGAATTAAACATGGCCCAGTCCAGAACCATCCTCCCAACGATTGCGATGTCTGAGCAGGTACTGGGTCAATCCACTGAGAGTCTCCTTGTTCATTAACCCTCCACTTCACCAAGCACGGTGTCCTTTTCCATGGACTGGCCTCTCCTGAGAATCTGTCCAAAGGATGAGACAAAGCCTTGCCATTCGTGTTTCTAGGGAGCATTCTGTCTGTACTTTTTCCAAGACAGATATTTCTTTCTTCTTCTTGCAGTTGATAGTACTTTCAAGATTCTTAATTCCATAAATCAAATGCGTCAAATACTCCTTGATCTTCCTTATTCAGTGTTCAGGCTTTACGTGCATATAAACTGATTGAAAATACATGACTTGAGTCAGTTGCACGCCAGGCCAGAAAGAGACATCTTTCCTTTTTAAAGAGGGCTTGTGCAGCAGCCTTGATCCCCTGACTGCTGTCCATGAGCTTTGAGTCTGGATCCAAGTAAAATGAAATCCTTGCCATCAATCTTTTCTGTTCATCATGCTGCTGTGAGAATTTGGGTTGACTTTCCAACGAATTACATCCATACTGAAGGCTGCAGTCTTTGATTTTCATAAGCAAGTGCTCCAAGTCCTCCTCAAGGTCAGCAAGCAAAGTTGTGCCATTGACCTATTGCAATAGCCTGTTAGTTAATAAGCCTTTCTCCAACCCTCATACCCCCTTCTTCTTCAGAGAGGCCAGCTTCCCAGATTATTTGTTCAGCACAGAGAATGAATAAATATGGTGAAAGGATACAATACTGACATACAGTTTTCCTGATTTTAAACCATTCTATG